CAGGTCCCCTTTAATGAGGAGAACGATATATTGTTCGCAGATTCTATTTGTGATTTAATGTATGTGGCCATGAAAGATTAATTGTAATTATTGAGAAAGGAGCAGGTTTATACAAGGTTTTTCTTCTTCTTGCTCCCTTTTCACTCACGCATATTATGTGTTAAAAGAAAATGTGTTTGCATGTTATAATGATGAAAATGATTGAATTGAGTGAATCAACTTATCGATTGATTTATGGTTATTTGGAAGAAAGCTGTAACATTTCTTGTGCAGCCYAGGGCTCCTACTTGAGGAATGTCAAAACATTTCTGTCAGAATCACAAAGGAATGAAAAGTTTATAAAGTTTCATACAGCCCCTGGCACAGACAAGCGGCCTTCAGCTCGTCAAGCTGGTCTGAAATAAAGTATTTTCATAAAATGAGAATATTCACAGCACTACAGCAGATATTGTTCCAAACCTCTCCACAGAAACCAATGGTTTGAACTAGATTCAGCTCGTCAGCTGCAGCCTGTTTGTGGAACTTCCTCCAGTCCATCTGCTTTACGTGTGCAGAAAAATTGAACCGTTGATTGTGAAAACTGTCCAGCTGCCGGATGTGAGTGAACTCATTTCCCTACATTAACCTTGTGACACACCGGTCTTGGTTGGGGCTCACAGGTTTCGGCTCCATGTAAGCCAGAGTGGGATGAAGAGGTTCTAAGCAGCAGCTTAGCATAGAAAAGTCTCGAGTCGTCCCTCGTTTCTTTGTATTTTGYTTCCCAAGGGATTCAGCAGGAYGTAAAAGATTRCAAGAACGTCTGGCTCCTTGGAAACAAAGTAYAAAGATTTGAGGAGTGTTAAATGAAAGCCCTCGTAACTCACAGCGTCTGTCGGAGCTGGCTGCTGTCCTGCGCCGTTCCCAGCAGGGATACAGCTTTTTGCATCTCAGAGGCTGAGAAAGAAAAAGAAAAAGTGTTCGTTAGCGCTGATTCATCCTTTTTTTTTTAAACCACGATTCAGCTTCTAACATATGTGGGTGTAACTCTTAGTATAAGAATTGTTGAAGCATGTGTATTACTCAGCAGCGTGATCCTCTGGATGTTAGAGCTGATGTTTTGGACCAAAGTTCTGAGCTCGTCTGTAAACCCCGCCTGGTAGGCCATGATGGAAGCTGCGAGGACACAGAAGAACACAATCCCAGCTCATTCACGAGTCACACTGGGATCTGATAATCACGTTTAACTCAGGTCAGCGCTCTGCTCACATGACCGACATGTGGAAATACCTTTTAGGAACCAGACTTTAATCCCCAGTACGACTCCAACTCCAAAAGAAGCTGGAACACTGTGCAAAAACACAAATAAAAACAGAATATGCCTCATCACGGAGAGTGGTGGAAAACTTATTTTTAGCAGCAGTTTAGACAGTTCAAGACTGGTTCAAGTGGAACGACCCTGTCTGACTTAATGGGCATATAAAACCTGGATCTCATCACTAACGTATATTTATAGTAGCATTTTCTAGAAACTGTACCCTAAGAGGCATCATGTAAAAGTGGACCTAAAATAGACCCTTGAGGGACCCCACAAGTCAGAGGAGTTGCAAAAGAGAAACATTCCCTTAAGTAAAAAATAAAAACCTGTGGAACTAAAACTGTGCTTTTGATACCAAGGACCTGCTTGTGTCGTGACAATATTATGATCCACGATATCAAAGGCAGCAAAAAGGTTTAAAAGCACTAAAACAACTAAAAGAAAATTAAATGCAGCTTTATATACTCTACAGTAGAAAACATGTACCAAGTTACATACAACAAAATCTTTTTTGTAAAAGTTTTGTGTGCGGTTTTTTTTCTTCTTAAATAAAAAAAACTCTCAATCATGGTGCGTTCACTTGTGGCTCGTTTTTTTCGGTGCTCAGCTCTTGGTGGTTCCTACTGGGCCAGTCATGCTGACTTCCTGTGACACAAGAGGACTGAAACTAGTTTCCTGTGAAAATAATCATCTGCGAATCAAGGAAATATGTCTGCAGTAAACTTTTAATAAAAAATAAATAAAAGAAGCAGGTGGTTCACTCTTTTGTTTTGTCGCTTTATTTATCTGTCATTCCCAACAAGAACAAGGCGGAGTTTTAATGACACACAGAGAGACGAAACGCATTTATTTTGCTATATTACCAGCTATTAAGGTCTTTTATACACTATATCCTGTCAACTATAAATTTGTTGACTCGAAACTGTAACGAAAACAAATCATTTGCCAATATTAGAATCAAACTCGCAACTCATTTTTAATGACAAGTTACAATTTTAGTTGAAAACACGTGAAACTGCCTTATATCTTTTTTTGTCGTCGTAAATGTGTCTACATTTTCATCCCTGCTCGAAATGTTCGGCTCGGTTTAGGAAAAGTTTGGACTTTACCTTCGTTGAGATTCGCAGCAGCGGGTTGTTTCCTGGTTTACAGGAACGCCCCTGTGTCACGTGACGTCTGCTGCACTCAGCGAAGGTGCGTTCAGGAAGGTGCGTTAAAAAATGAGCAAAAACATGAAAATCATCTAAAATCGAGCATGAGGACAAAAAAAGACACAGCATCTGATTAAAATAAGCTAAACTGATTAAAAACTGTAAGTTTTTGCTCGTTTTTGTCTCAAGTCTCATTTAAAATTAAAGTGATTTTAGTTTCTTTAAAATGGGGCCAGAAAACAGACGAAACTTGAAATGTTTTTTTTTTGTTTGAATGCAGCAGTGCGTTTCAAAAGTGGCAAGTTTGCACTGCAGCCTCATTGTTTAGTTTAAACCTATCCTTTTATTTAAATTCTTCTCTTTTCTTTTTCAAATATGCGGAGCATCAAGTGCAAAACCACAAAGCTGTAGCAGACACTTTACGAAGACAATCACATTCTGTATGCAATAATCTGCTGCAAGGAAAATTACATTTGCTATAATCTGCTGCTACTCCAAACTTACTTATCCCCCATATCTCCTATATTTTGTATATTTGTATATTTATGTTTCTATTTTACTTACTCTATTCTACTTGTTCTATCTTTTTTAATTTTTATCCATTGTATCTGTATTTCAATTGCTTAAGGGTGTAACTAGATTGTGAGAATACAAATTTCGTTCCACCACATGTACCACATGTGATGCGAATGACAATAAAACTCCTTGAATCCTTGAAAATAAACAGTTTGCCCCCATTTTGGATCCGTGCAGTGAGAATCAATATTTCAGACATAGAGCTCTGAATAATAAGAGTACAGAAAAATCTTTGAATACATGAGATGAAGATGTTTAAATAGCTGGAGTTTTGCAGCAGCCCTGAAAGACATTACCGGTGGAAGAAGTTTAAACCTCAATAGAGAAAACAAACTGTAAACTAGACATGGGTTTTTACGATGTAAAAACAAGTGTGCATTGCCACGTAGCATGCCTTTGCCTGCAGAAAGAGCTTTGACCAGGATCAAATGTGTTTTCTATACCAGGTTGTGCCTGTCACRTCAGCAGGTGTTTGTAATTAAGGTAATTGTGTGACAATATGAAGTTTGAAGAGATTTTTTGTTAAAGTTACAGTAGCTGGATTTGAACCCTGATCCCCTACATGAAAGCCCACAGTGCTCATCATGAGACTATAGGAGATGTGGCAGAGGACAATCCCAGGGATTGTATTGTATGTATACAGAAAAAGTTTACCTTGTCAATGCAATTATTGACACTTCAGTGCAATATATTACAGCAATAGGACAACATAAAGACAGTATTACAGTAAAACTTCAAAATACTATCATATTAATATTGTAATCACTGAACTATTGAGTTTAAATATTATTAAACTATGGTGCAGTACCATAGTGTGTAGAGGCAGCAGGGGGCAGTATTGGACCAATAGAAGGCTCTATTGACTGCCATCATAATTTATTAAACATTAATATGTCAAAAACTATAAGTTTTACAGGCACCAAAATGCATAGCCATCATTTGGCACAGGAGCTTTACAGATATAAATTACAATGGCAGCTCTAGGACAAAGTATGCAGGAGGAGAAGCATGGCAAAGTTGAGAAGACTTGGATGGGAAACTAATCACAATAGTGTGCATTGCATTGGCAATGCACACTGATTAAATCCATCAATGCAACTTTTGAGACATGTTGCCATTTGGACTGCCAGTTTTTAGTTTGATTTATAACGTGTTTCTTGGTAAAGCAGGGTTATTTAAAGAGAGCATACGGCATGAATTCCCCAACTCTTCGTTTAGTCTAATTGTTTTGTACCAGACACAGGTAAAAACTGATACTTTGGTACAGTTCAATGTTTTATTACACATCACAAAGTGCCCTTACGTAATGTTGCTTTACATCAGCTGTGTTCAGTTTAAAGTCCAAGCAAGTTATCTAAATTGTATCGGGCCAGCCTTCTCTGCATGTCCTTAAGAAAGTGTCACTTCACTGTTGAATTCCTGTTTTGTGGATCCAACGGGCGTTAACGATCTGCACAGACTTTCAGGTAGGTTGTGTTTTTCAGATTTCTCTCTTAAACCATCACACTTGGTTTTTGACTAAAAGAAAGCTCTAAAGGCATCAGACATTTTGAAAAGAATGGTCAGTTGTACTTCGCTCCATGCTGAGTATTTGGGGAACATTGAGCTCAGTAAACTCTCTTATCACACTTTAACAGACGTGTGTTTGCTTGTTAGGGGGAGTCAGAACAGAGAAACGCGAGCAGTTTGAGTACACTATTCCTCAAAAAGTTCTTGGTCCTGACTCCGTTGTTCTCCACAGCACCTCTGTCAGTCATGCTGCTGCGTCTGGTGGCCCTCAGCCTCCTCCTGGCCTGCGCTGTGTCTCTCAGCAGCTCTGCTGTCGTTTTGGAAAACGGCATGCCGATCCACTGGRCACAAACGTCCAGCCGGGTGACGGAACTGCCAGAGGAGAACGGGATTGTGACTCCCAACCCATGGCAGTTTCTCAACCGCATGAGTTTGTACCGGCTGCTGATCGCTGCCACAGATCCCTTTATGGGATGCATGGGGACCAACTCTACAGACAACCCACTGTGGGGGCTGCCTCTGCAGCTGGGGTGGATGCTGACTTCAGGTAAGATGATAGCAAAGAAAACATTCAGGAAAATCCCTTCACAATCAAAATTATAAACAATGTTCATATCTCGTTATCCCAAGAATCTTGATGTTGGATGTTTTTTGTTGTAGGTCGACTCGCTGATCCAACCGGTTCAACAACCTGCGGCCTTCAGGCAGGAGACGCTATGTGCATTTCAGCTCAGAGCTGGTGGGGCTGTAAGTACAGCAAACAAACAGAAACACACACACACACACACACACACACACACACAGACGCTTACACACTATTAATTTCTTTTTTTCAGGTGTGAATTACTTCCTTTCTGTGCTTCCCTTCCTGTCTGCTGCACAGCAGGGCTTCCTGGGAGAAAACATTCAGGTCCTCATGTTGTTTGTTTTTTTTTAATCACATAAGAACACAACTGAACCTTTAACTGTCACAAGGATGACCACAACKGTCTTTGCTGCATTTTCAGGTGCAGCAGCAGGCACCTGCAGGTGTGGAGGAGTACTGTACCACCTACGCTGCCTGTTCAKCTCAGTACCCTGATGTCATGGCAAAGTGGGATGCCTTTTTCAAGGTACTTGATCTACACACGCTGGTAAAATGTAAATGAATGTCGGTAGATTACAAAAGGGTCATACTGCCACAGCAAGTTAGAAAGTTTGAATTTAAAGGGATCCACGATTAGTTGTAACATTAAACTTTATTTGATAAACATTTATTTTAACTGTTAAATAAAGACTGTAAAAATACTGTAGGCTGTTTAGTTTTGTAAATTTTTAAAAATATATTTTAACACGGACAGAGCCATTTTATTTGCACGCAAAGCATTCTGGGTAAATGATGACATCAACTAGGTCATCGGTGCGAGGCTGCTAGCGAGCTATATCCACCCTGAAGGTTAATCCTGGACAATATCTGATGATCGACTCTTTTAAATGAAACCAGAGAGCGTTGACAGAGAGGAGAAGGTAGAAAGGACTCAGCCTGTAACTGAAAATATGGATGGAGGACAACAGAGCTGCTTCATGGAAGAAGAACCTCAGCTTAGCCTGTTAGCTTTAGCGTTAGCCCTCACGCTATATTGCGCGACAAACAAGCTAAACTGAGGTCCTCCATCCRTATTTKCAGTTGCAGGCTGAGTCATTTTTGTGTTCCYCTYKCTGTCATGTGGATGGAGGACCTCAGTGACGAGAGGAGAATGTGTAGCGCTGAGCTAATACATATATATGGTGATTGCGTCGGGGCTAACGCTAAAGCTAACAGGCTAAGCTGAGGTTCTTCTTCCATGAAGCAGCTCTGTTGTCCTCCATCCATATTTTCAGTTACAGGCTGAGTCATTTCTACCTTCTCCTCTCTGTCAACGCTCTCTGGTTTCATTTAAAAGAGTCGATCATCAGATATTGTCCAAGATTAACCTTCAGGGTGGATATAGCTTGCTAGCAGCCTCGTGCCGATGACCTAGTTGATGTCATCATTTACCCAGAATGCTTTGCGTGTAAATAAAATGGCCCCATCCGTGTAATATATTTTTAAAGTTTTAGTTTAAAACCGAACATCCTATGGTATTTTTACAGTTTTTATTTTACAGTTAAAGAATATGTATGTTTATCAAATAAAGTTTAATGTTACAACTAATCGGGGATCCCTTTAACACTATCAAAGTTTACATTGGAACAACCACTAACATTTTAAAAGACTCAAAATTATTACACCAATTAGTGTTAAAACTATATTTCTGTGGTGTATAATAAAACCAGAAGAGTTTTAAAAGTACACTGAATTAATGTTGAACACTGCGATATAGTTGGAACATCACTCTCAGTAGCTAAATATTAACATCATCAATGTGTTATCATAATGAATAAAGTTCAAATTATATTAACACTATGAAAAGGGTTAAATTTAACTCAACATCGAAATCTATAATATGAAAATCCTACTTGAAGTCAATTAACTACCACATAAAAAACAGCACTGGTCCTTGGCTCAGATTTGAATTTCAACTCTTTGTAGTGCTGTGTTGTCACGGCTCAGTAGTAGAAAAGTACAACTGAAGCCTGGTCCCACTTGCACCCTACGCCCCTCTATGAAGTGTGTAGTCGAAGTGCACATAAGGGTTGAGTTCGCAGGTTACAAGTGTTCAGAATTTGGAGAATTGGGCCAATACGGGTTACGTCATCGACTTGATCCTCAGCATCGTAACTGTGACATGCAAAATGGCAGGACCGGTCGYTGTTTTGGCATTTGTACTGCTAAAAATGATACAATCACAACAAGCAGTCATTGTTTTAGGAGAAGGAAGTTCATGAAACAAAGAAGGCTTATACATGCCTCCTATAAGTTCTTCTTCTTTGATTTTATTGTCAGACTCATTTAAGTGCATTACCGCCACCACTTGATTGGAAGGTGCTTAGTGGACACCTCTGCCTTTTAATTCAAAATGTTACAGCGTCYGCTTGTCCGCTTAGCCGAAGTATGGATCAAGAGAACAAAAGGGGAGGGACGAAAGACCAATCCAGAGAATYGGGACACACTACACACTCGAACCCTTCAACAGGAATGCTCATTTGAAGGACATGAGGGTGTACTGTGACCGGGCCTGTGTCTCAATTCAGGGGTTGCAGCCCATGTCAGCTCCTCACGTAACTGCATTTCACCGTAGGCTGTCCCAATTTGTRGGCACCTGTATTCATTCCAGTAGGCTGCATTTGYGTATCCTATCTACRTGGCCAACGATATCCCAGGGTTCAATGGGCTGTCAGCAAAGTAAACAGAAAAAYAACAACAGTGGAAGTTGGGCGTGAGGTGTAAGAGGGCGGGGCTTTTCAGAATAYAGTGGGCAGAGCTTATTTGACTSTCCCCARAGTTGAGACAWCACTGATAAAATCAGCTCTGTAAATKAACAACACTAGACGTCAGTTAACTCAGAAMGTGTTAGAATWAGACTCCAATTGYAGAAYTGTCTTTCTTCTGAYAAAATGCTAAGAATTAAYTGGTTGAGATCATTCAAACTGTGTATTTGTGTGTTTCTTCAAGGCTCTCAAGGCTGARTCCACTTTACCTGACAACGAGAAGAAAGACTCAATCCTTGGTGTCTACTGGACAGCCCAGATGGCTTCACTTTATGCCTCTGAAGCATGCAATGCCAAGTACTCCATCCACCCATCCATCCATCCATCCATCCATCCATCCATCCATCCATCCATCCATCCATCCATCCATCCATCCATCCATCCATCCATCTCTCTTGTTAATCTTAAGTTCGTTTTAGTTAGATTCACATCATGGCAGCACATTGGCTCAATGGTTTGCTCTGATGTCTCACAGGAAGAAGCTCCTGGGTTCTCCTCATGGCTTGTTAGGCTGCCTTCAGTCCCAGGCCTCCTTTGCAAAAGAGATCCATGATCTCACTGGGATTTGCCTGATTAAAATAAAGGTTAAAGGGGCAATATCATGTAAAATCAACTTTTTTTGAGTTTTATATCATGTTATAA